AATAAGGGGGGGGGGGGGGGCAGCTTTTTTGGGGTTTCTAGAGGGGCAGGAGCATATGAAAAGAGGGGGAAAAGGGGGAAGTTTTTGCAGGTTATCTTAGGAGACAAGGGTTTTGGGGGGGAAAATAGCCGAGTGGTAAATACTTTTTACAAGGGGGCGAAAATGGGGAAACAGATTAAGGGGTTTTATGGGGGAGGGAAATTGCAAGGGGAAAAGGGGCCTTAAAAGGGGGCCCGCCCCAAATGTCCCAAATATTGTTTGGGCCATTTTCCAGGACCCCTTTTATAGAATGGTTGACCGTGGGCTTATTACGCCTTTGGGGAGGAAGTGGGGGGGTGGGAGGGCCGGGCCCGGGGTTTAATTGGATTTGTTGACGACACCACTGTTCTCATTCGGCAGGGATGCAAGGGGAGTTTTTGGACGAGGGGGGTTGAAATTTAAATTGGAAGGGGCCAGGGGAAATCCCATTTAAATGGGTGCGAATTCAAGGTGAAATGGGGTTGGGGTTTTTGGGGTTGGGGGGGTGGGGGGGAGATTTTAATGTTGAAAAAAGAAGGGGGCGGTTTTTTTAAAATTTTGGGTATTATTTTAGGGATGACATGGTTTGCGGCCAGGGGGAAAATTCAGATAGGTTTTTTGGAAAAGGATCATGGGGCGGCTGGGTTTTTCTGAGCCCCCCACACCCAAACTCTGAACAGCGATTTTGCGTGAACTTTTATTGTATAGAAAGGTTTGGAAGTTGCAGCTGTTTTCCCAAATTTTACGGGGACAGCAATTGGGGGGATACTAAAGGGGTGTACAAATTTTAGGGGGTTCATTTGGTTTGGTTTTGGGTTTAAAGGGGAGGGGGGTTTGTAATTTTACCTGTAAATAAAGGGGGGGGTTGGGGTTGTTGGTTTTGGGTGACGGGAGGGCTAAAGGGTTTGTTTATTAAAGGGAATTTTTTGCTGGGGGTGTGAACGGGGGGCGTTTGGGAAGATACACGACAGGCGGGGTTATGTGGTTTTCGAGGAAGGGATTTAAAGGGAATTTGAAATTTTTTTTTGGGGCTTGATTTTGGGGTTGGGGAACGGGAAAAAGGTTCGTATAAGGGTTTTGGGGGGTGGGGTTACTTGTAGGTGGGTTTCGTTGTCCCAGTTGAGGGTTTTTTTCCCCCCATGTATCCCGGGGGAAGAGTATTTGGTTTAATTTAGAAAATTTGAATTTTAAAACCTCGGGGGGCGTGAGGTGATGTTTCTTTTTCTGCATGGGATCCTTTCCCCCTGGTGAGAATTTAAAAAACGAAACAGACAGGTTGTAGAGGGTGGGGGGTGGGGAAACCTTTTTGGGGGGATGGACGCGTTTTTCCCTGTTTGTTTAAATTTTTTGAAGGGGTAAAAAGGTCCCGGTCTGGTTTTAAGGGAGGGGTTTGGAAAAGAGGGTTGGGGGGCCGTGGGGTTCATTTTGCGTGCTCTAATCTAGAAATGGGTGGGTTTTGGGTGAGGGTGTCATAAGACTTTTTGATTTTTAACATGGTAGATTTTAAAATATAAGCCCTGGGTGATGAGGGGGAGAGGGGGTATGAGGAGAGAAAGAAAGGTTCTTTTTCGGGAACGTTCCCACCGTACGGGGTTTTCGTAAAAAGGATTTGTATGGGGGGAGGTGGGATTTAGGCTTTTTCCCAAGGGGGAAAAGAAGCTAACGTTAGGGATTCTCCTAAATCGTGATTTTGGGAAAAGAGTGGGGTGAAGGGGGTTTTCATAGGTTTTGGGGGGGAGTCAGGGGGCAACAGCGGGGTGCCTCCCGGGGGGGGGGGGGGCGTGAGAGTGTTGTGAATGTGGGTTTTTGGGAAAGGTTTTTCCCGGGTTTTTATTGGACTTTAAAGGCATCCCCAATGTGGATGTAAGGGTTTAAGGTCCGTTTGGAAAATTTTAACACTTTTTTAAAATGTAGGAAAAATAAGTAGATTTTTTAAAGTATAATTTTGATGTGTTTTCATCTTGTAAAAAACATTTATTTTTGAGAAATAAATCTTTGTCTGAAAAGTGTGTTTAGTTTTTTTTTATGTTACGTTCTGGGGTTTTTTCACATGGATATACTTTTTATACGTTTGGGGATTGTGCATACAGTGCATCTGATTAATGTATTTTTTTGCAAATTTTTGTGTATTGTGGGTGTGTGTTTGGGTGTGGGGGGTGGGTGTGTATGTGTATATATTAAATATCCCTTTCTATTGTTTTTGAGCCTTTGTCATGGGTCAGAAATTTTTGTAATAATTTTATATATCATGATTTTAAACTTTTTTAAAGTTTATAATTTTGGTTTTGTAAACCCCGATCCGGGGTTTTTTTTCATGAAAATTTTTTGATGTTTTAAATTTTTGTCTTGATGGGATACAGACATATCTTTGACAGTTTAGTGACGTAGTCCATTTTTGTCTGAAAATTTTTATATGGGGTTTTTGAAAAAGGAATTTGAGCTTCAGTTTTTTGTGTTCCCAAGCGTATTCTTTGTTTTTGTTTTTTTTTTATTTGGGAAAATGTTCGGGTGTATTTTAGGGATAAGTATGTAATTTTTCTAGTTAGATTATGATGTTTTTGGGTTTTTGGGTTTTTTTATTTAATTTAAAGGGTGGGATTTAAAAGATATAACTTCTTTGGGAAAATTTTTTTTGTTCAAGTGTAATTTAACCTTTGTCAGATTCATTTTTTAAAAGTACAATTTATATATATCAAAAGGGTTTTTTTTGTTTAATTCATGAACCTGTGACAGTAATTTTTTTTTTTAGTTAAAATTTCCCTTTATGTAAGTTGTTGTTGTAAAAATCCCTTTCGAGCTGTAGGTACAATTTCCCTTTTTCAGTTAATTTTGATTAGGTTTCCATTAAAAATGTTTCTTTTTTTTTATTTAAAATGTATTTGGTTTTTAAAAAAAATATAAAAAAAAAAACCTCATTCAAAAACTTTCACCCACTCATTTCATAATCACTGGCTTTTTAGAGTTGCTCAATACAACAGTTTAGAAGTCCCCCAAAGGGGCGATATCCCAAACCTCCCTAAAAAGTAGACAGTAAACCTACTTGGGTAATTCTCATAATCCCTTTGGGGGCAAGTTTTTTGTGGGCCCCAGTTTTCCCCAAGTCCCCACCAAGGGCAGGTCCCAAATTAGACATACCTGGCCATGCCTCTTTTTCTCTTGACAACTGGCGGGCCCACCTGTGAACAGCTTTCCCTCCTGACGGCTTTGGGTTTAAAGTGGGAGGCCCTTTTACTTCCCCCTTTCCCGGGCTTGAATCCACTAATCAGTTTCCCGAATTCCCCCCACGAAATAATTTCCCTGCTTCACATTCCAAAACTTGTCAGGTCCCAAAAAACCATTTTCCTCCACTCACTTTTCCCAGAAAAAATGCTTTGTATATTTTTTTTTTAACACAAATCCGCCCTTTTTTTTTCTTACTGAGGCAGGGAACCCAAAAAAGAAAATTTTTGCCCTCATTCACACAACACTCTCCCTTTCCCAAAAGGGAACAGATACGACAGTTTTTGATACCCCTCTAAACAATAAAAATCCCCAAAAAACCCTCCTGTAGTGTGGCAAAACAAAATATTTACAAGAAAACTTTTAAAATTTTAAGTATATTTTTTTTTCACAAATCAAAAAATTAAATTTTTTTTCTTTTTTTTTTCCTTTCCCAAAATTTATTTTTTTTTTATTATTCTGATATGGGAGATTATATTTTAAAAAGTTTTAAAATTTCAGCACCAGAGGGGGTAGACAAAATAACACTGAAGCACTGTCTCCGAAGAAATTAAAGTGACTTTTTTAAAGTCCCTTTAAGGACAGATGTGGAAGTTTAAATTTGGGAAAGAGCAGACACCAAACCCGGGCCCCCTTCATCCCACATTTAAAAAGCATGCAGGAAATATCAGTCAAATTAACAGACTGCTTCCTTAACACAAAAAATGAGGGCCTACACTTCTTTTTATTTTCCCATTGAGTAAACCATTATTTTTCTTAAAGAAAGTTTTGTACAGTTTCTGTACTCATCTTTAAATTTAATTAAAAAAAAAGGAAATATAAGAAAATTTATTAGATGTAGCGTAAATTTTATGATTAAAACTCTCAATGCACATGTCTTTTTTAAAATTTTTTAGTTTTAATTTTTTTATTTCAGATATTCAATTTAGAACATAAAACAAGGAAAAAATTTAAAGGGGATTAGAAACTTCTTTTAAAAATATTTCTTGAATTTTATTTTTTTTTTTTATATACCTAAGGCACTAATTTGAATTAAAAATTTTAAAATTTTTAAAAAAGTATAAACAAAAGTGTTTAAAATACAAAAAAAATCATCCATTGATTGTGTAATTTTTGCAAATTTTGGTCTGGGTTTAAAAGTCAAATTTCCCAAAATAGGCTTGGCATACCCAAAAAGTCCCCCGAGTGACTGTCAAACACCCTTTTCCCGAACTAACCCCTACCCCCACACAGATTGAAAAATGCAACCGCAAAGCAAAACTTTTCCCTTAAATGGAAGGGACCATCAGACAGATTTTGTTTTGGGGACATTTCTGTAAGCACAAATTTCCAATTACTAAATTTTTTTTAAATATGATGAAAACCCTTTCCGCTTTTTATTAACTGGGTTTTTAAACTTCCCTTCTGTAAAAAAAAAAATTTTCTTTCCCGGGATGAATAAAATGCTTCAAAAAAGAAGTTTATTTTGTGGGGCACTTTAAATCCCCATTTTTATTTAAATATAAAAAAATTAAAAACCCCCCGAATTTTACTTCTATGAGCAAAGCATACATTGTCTTTGGGGTGTCCTTTTTAGATAATGGGGCAGTACACTATATATCTTTTGACCATTCTTCTGTATATATTGTCACTTTAACATACGTAGCTAGCAATGTAACTTTTTAATTTTATTCAATCACTCATCACTGACTTTCTGTCATCATCACGTTATGAGTGCTAACTCAAGTTATTTCACATACATTACACTTAATAAATACTAATCATTCTCATTAGTTTTATATCAGTTTCAGTATACAGCCTTTGGTGACAGTATCTGGGAAAATCTCACCATGGAGCAAACAACTGCTGGACAAACCTATTTTGCCAACATCATTCATCTGGCACCTGCCACCTCATACATATTTAGAGTTCAGGTTATATACAATAATACTTACTACAGTTATACATGGCCTGAACAACCTCTCTTTAATTTTTCCACATTGGGTGAGTTCTTTCATTGGCACTATATTTTTGTTTACTTTTGTGAATATAATAACAATTGCTCCATATATACATATTTATTGCAGAAATTCATTTGATTTTGATAAAATTTAATCAGTTCATGCACACTTATGAAAGTTTGTTGTCTGATGAATGTTTCAAATTAATAAGATTTTTCAAAGTTAAAAATTAGTTAACCAGAAGTAAGTTAACAATAAGTATTTGGTGTGTAGCTGAGATTCCAGGTGAACCAGGACAAGTGATGCGGCAGCAGGTGGGCAGGGTCTTGCCTGGCGGTGGCTTGAGGCTCTGGTGGAGTGAGGCAAAACCAAATGGTGCTCCAGTTATTGCATATACCCTGCAAGCTTCCCTCTATAATTCCAATGACTTTGACAACAATATTACCTATGCTACCATATATAATGGATCGGGTAAAGTGCACGAGTTATTTTTGTATAAATTTTCTATAATCCTACTGTATTAGAATTTGGCATTTTAAGTAGATGATCTTACATGTGTATTAATTTATGTTACTGCTCTGTGGAGTTGTATATTAATTTATAAAATCCATAGGACAGTAATTAATAGATACTAATTTTTTACAGATAATTATTGGCTTATCAAAGGATTAGAAGCAGAATCCAGTTACATCTTTCGAGTCCGTGCCATAAATGAACTTGGAGCTGGCCCTTGGGGAGAAGTCAATGTGATTGACACAGTAGTTGGGGCAACCATGCTGACACAGACTGATCTCCCTACAATTCTTTCATCAACTATACCAACATCTCTGATTTTTTTTGGAGTGTTTTTTACAAGTCTTATATATGGTAAATACAGTATAGTGTACTGTTATTAATTTTTTTTTCACAACAGTTGTCTCCCACCAAGGTACGGTGACTGTCAGTCATTCAGAGACTGTCTTACCAGAAGCATGCTTATGTCACAATTCAGATTACCCTCCAAATGAAGCATCCCCACCCCTTCTGAGTGCAGACACTGCCTCTCCCACCTCCAGGACTCAAGTCCAACTAACCAGTTTCTCTGAATCCCTTCATCAGAGTTACCTTGCTCACACTCCAACAGCACATCTATGAAAAACCACTTGTCTCTATTCACTTCCGTTTAAAATGCTCTCACAAGTCTGCTGAATGCTGAAGCCCCTAAAGCTCATAGCCTGTCATACCCCCTCCCTCCCCCAGATTTATTAACCTCTTAGTCAACCTATCCCTCTCCAACCTCTACATGACCAAACCACTTCACCAACCCCTCCTCAGCCTAGTAAAGTTTTTAAGTGATGCTCAATTTTCAACTTTGTATAGTAGTACAGTGGACCCTCAGTTAATGCCTTTAATCCATTCCAGAGAGCTAGGCTTTAATCGATTTAGCCTTTAACCGAATTAATTTTCCCCATAAGAAAAAATGGAAATCCAATTAATCCGTTCCAGACACCCAAAAGTATTAAACAAAATAATTATTTTACATGAAATATACATTTCCCTACACAGAAAACAATGATACATGAAGAATGAAACAATAATAATGTCACACGTACCTTTATTGTGGACTTGTTGATGAGTGATGAAATGGGAGAGAGCAGAGGATGAAGATGTTCTATTGTTTGGAAGGGGAAATTCCCTTCCATAAGGACTTCAGGTAATAAGTCCTTTTCTGGCTTGTGTCCTGGAGTATCTTTTCCTCTTGAGTAATGTAGTCTGTTTGGCATTTTTCTTCCTAAACAATCCTTTTCGTCACAATTGAAACACTTTGGGGGTTTTTAATTTTTCAGCCCCTCTGTACCCCTTAAAGTCCCCGCACATATTTTTTCAGCCGCTTTTTTGTCAGAAATGGCAGCCTTCCATGCCTTATCAAACCATACCACTCACAAACCCCTACCACCTCTACCACCATCCAATTGCTACCACCCTCCTA